TGCCTGTCTGTCTGTGTCGGCACAAAGACAGCAGGGTTGGGGTGATGTGAGGTTGAGTCATAAATCTACAGTCAGCTGAGACAGTGAAGGATATCTTTTCTCTGTTTGGTAGAGAAGGTGCTGAAAGATGATAGATACTCACCAGAGACAGACAGTAGCTGGTTGTGGCAGACGTTGGGGTGTTGGTGGTGGTAAGGAAAGAGGAGAGTGGGGGGTTGGCAAGTAGGTGCTGATTTACAGCGGCAGAACTTTAGCTGGAGGGGACACAGTGGATGTGGTGTTCGGTGTGTGTTTGTGCTGGTGTGTGTGGAGCAGGGTGGATGATGGTGGTCTTGAGGGGGTTCAGTCGGGGCTGCATTTGTGATCCTGTGTTAAGTGCTCGGTCAGTGGTGAAGGCCTTTAGGATTAGACCCCCTCACCCCTCCCCACCCCCAAAAACTCTTGTAAACAGCCCGCCCTCTCTCCCACACACTCACTCACACTCACACACACATGCATCTCCTCTCTGCCTGGATTCCAACTTGTGAGATTCTCCAGAGCCACCCACCACAGCTCCTCCTCCACCAGCACTACCAGTACTCTTTTGCCTGTTCACTCACACACACACACACTCACCTACTACAGCACACACACATGTCAAAAGACACTCTAACGTACCAACGGCTCACCATTCCCTTAATATTGCCAGAGTAAAGCGATCCCCTCACACTCACATCACATTAGTGCTGCTATTAGGCCATACCCAGACATAAGAGCTACAGGGTGTGTGTATGTGTGTGAAGTCTGCCAGAGTTTTATGCATGCTAGAGGGGGTGATTGTTTGTGTTTGCGTCCGGGGTATGTGATTTGTGAGGGAGGAAAGGTTAGAGAAGTTTAGTGTGTGTTATAAAAGTCTTTGGTCTATGTTGTGTGTGTGTGTGTGTGTTTGTGTGTGTGTGTGTTGCGTTTTAGGAGAGAAAGTAGAGACACTGATATCCTGGCACAAGATGAGTGGGAGGACGGATAGATGAGGTTAGTGAGGGTCTGGCAAGGGCGCAGTAGGTGTAAGCTTGAGAAATTTCTATATGGCAATAAAATGTCTGCCACTTTGCTTATTGAGTTTCTAATGTGGGCCAGGTGCTTCTCATGAGCACTGTGTGGACAATTTCTCCCTGTCTGCTGACAGTATGTGTGCGTGTTTGTTTTAAGTCACATTTGGAACAAATTGCGGACTCCAAACCAGATCAGCCACTTGCTTCAGGACAAAATTGATGTCCACGATTTAGTCCCAGAGCAGTTGCATCCAGGAACATCTAAAATATCATGTTGTCCTCACTGAGGTTAGATTATAGAGTAAAGGTAAATGCAATGGTTAGGATCATACATGTTTTGGTTATGGGTAATGGTTATGGCAAGCCTCCAGGAAAAATGTATCAATGCAACGTCTCCAGAAATAAGCTCTGTGTGTTGGTGAGTGTTTTCAGCACTAATCCTGACCCATTGCAGCCATTTTATAACAACAAGACTGCACATACAGTTTTACTGCTGCCATTCATAGACAAGAAAATGCTCAACCGTCAAACCGGACCCAAATGACACACGCTATAAAACGTAGAAAAATAAACCTGCTTCATAAGATTTGTAAAAACCCTGGCAACAAAGTACACAACTGCTGATTTATTAATGTGGATGTTTCAGTCATTGGAAAAAAGCCCCTCCCCCAAGTGTATTGGTTTATACCAAGCCAATGTTTATGGTTTGACACACTTATTTTCTACATTGGCAAACAGTTGGGGGTTCAAGAATTCTCTGAGACATACCCCTGGTAATCTTTTGTTTATCATAGACCAATATTTTTGCTTTCTGATCTTCAGGGAGAAACCTTCAAAGGTGTAACAGACTCCCAACAAAAATCTGTAAAATCTCATGTTTTCTTTAGCAAAGCTGCTCTAAAGTCTTTCTACCTCATTTCCTTTTAAGAGCCGTCATAAGCGTATAGAAGTAACAGAGGTGGCAGTCGTGAACTCAGTGTGCTTCTGGTTGCCCTTTAATGGCGACCAGGCAGGAGAGCTGGGGCTTCAGTGGTTTTGGCAACAAACAAGACAGTCTTCTTTGAAGCCGCCACAGATCCTCTTACCCACGTCGCTTCACTTATAAAATGATTTTCCTTTCCTACGGGCTATGTCGTTGGGAGGTACGCAGGAATTCATATGGGAATCTGACAAATTTTGTGTCAGAGAGAGACCGACCTCCTGAAATACCTTAGAGGGAGCCTTTAATGCCCTTTTCCCCTCTGCTATAGTTTCTGAGTATTTTTAGACAACAAGACCAAAACGCTGAAATTATTCATCATATAAAATATAATAAAAACAACCATTTTTGGCATGGGTTGTTTTTAACAATGATACTGTAAAATCAGTTATTTACATAGTCATTTGCCACAGAAAACAAACAAAAAAATTATATTTTTAAATTTCTAAAAGTAGATATTTACAGCAACAGCCTGTATATGACACCAACAGCAAAGCACCGTTAATAACACAGGGCTGTTGTTAAAACAGTAAATGTGTACAATTATACAGCAATAGTCTGTGTATAGCACAAATGTCCATTAACTGTTGAAAATACTCCAAAATTTAGAGTTAAGTTAGGGAAATTTAGAGCAGTTCAACAAATGTTCAAACATTTTAGCCACTTAAATCCTAACACTCTGGAAACAGAATTACAAAATATCAACAAACATTTTAAAATTACAATTTGTATTTTACTTACATTGCTATACCTATTTAGAAAAATAAATCTATGAGGGGTTGCATTTTCACTTTTAAAACATGAATTATCTGGGTAACTGCAATGTGCTGGTTTAAAATGCCATTGTCTTTGATTAATGAAATCAAAGTACTGGTAATATTCCTTCATAATAAAAGTGAATTATTGTTGCTCCACATATCAATCAGCTTAGAAAGAAAAAGAAAGAAAGAAAACAAATCACAAATCTAATTCAGGAAATTAACTGGGAGTTTGGGTGAAAATAAGTTACACAAATTAGCCAAATGGCACAAGATTATATTTTAAAATACTGTTTATTATCAGCTCTGTGACAGTGGCAACACTGACACATAAAACGGGGAGATGACAGAGCATATGGTCACATCTGTCTGCTGGCACCTCTCAGGAAATAGCATCCAATCTCCTTTCAACTTTACACTGACAGACCGGTCATTTGGCTCCACTTTGAGATTCCACAGGTTTCCTCATGACACACCTAAAACATTTCTTTGCTGCAAATCCCTTACATTAACTTTAATAACTTTATTTGAAGAGCGTGTCCGCTATTTTCTTATCTCCAAACAGAGCCGAGAACACATCAATATTCAACATAATTAATAATGTAATCGACTTCTGCTATTTAATGCTGACTTTGCCAAGTATAACTGCGCCTGTCATCTCTGTCTCAGTTATATATGTCTGACTTAATTAAATGTATCAGTTGGTTATTACTAAATTTAAAAAAGCAAACTGAACAAAATATTACTCAGTATTTAAGTAAATGTCAATATTATTGAAATATTCCCTATATATCAGGGTGCGCCTATAACCTGCATACTGACTTACTGTAGGCTTTTGTTTTGTCAGCAGTCCTGTAATTCCCCCACAGATCATAGGATTTTATTTGAGTGACCATATGGCGATTTCCGTTCATTTAAAAACTGCTTTGACCCCCTAAAACTGAAAAATGTGCATGAAGCAAGCAAGTTTTTTTTGTAAATAAAAAAGCAACGCATATTAAGGGTTGCTGTTTGGACTGAAATGTATATTTTCTTTGCAGATTTCCTAACTGTGTTAAGTACTGTTTTGAAAATAGACTGTAGCACTTACTGATACAATAAAACGATTGTAAAGGCAGAGAGACTGAGGAGAAAGGCTGTAAAAAGCCTGGTCGTGACAGATGCCCCCTTCTTCAGCAAATCCCAGGAGCAGGAAAAGTAGATTGCAGCTGTATAATCCTGCAAGGAAAAAAAACTGCCTGCTGCCTTTTGCCCGACCGATTGAGTTAAATGTCTCACTGTATTACAAACACAAACAAGCGATTTAAAAAACTGTGCAGTGCAGTCATAAGTTCCCCTCAAAAAAAGCGCCGCGTACAGGAAAGTTTCTCAGTTCTGTTATGACTTTAAATTTAACAGAGAACTTCGATGCCACTGTCTTTTCAATCGAAATTGGTGGAAAACCTTAATGTTTTCCATGAGCATATTATTAAAATGATCTTAAATGATCTTAAATTGCTCGTTTTATTCATCCATATATATTTTTTTAAACGAAGTACAGAAGAATCTGAAAACGGGCGGGGCGCTGTTTAAATGTGTTGCCATCGGTGCCTTTTCGCAATGTTTTAGTATTTGAAGTCACGCAGCTGAAGAGAAAATTGTTTTAATCAAAGTAAAACCTCAGCAGAAACTTCATTTTCCCCTTTCCAATGAAGCGAAGTGACCCGCAGGGAGGCGCTGTGCGTCCATGCCTGTGCACGAGCTGGGAGTCCCGGGAAAGGAAAGGCAGAGTGATACGCTGCAAAAACATAAAAATAAAATAAAATAAAAGACCAACTTGATAATTAAGGCTTGCATATCCTAGAAAAATGCACGTAAAGATACATGTCAAAATGTTACACAAACTGTTCGAAAAAAATATCAAATTATTCTATCACAAACAAAACTGTGTTAAATCAAGTGTCTGGAAGAGACGAGACGTTTGGTATACTGCTGTAACTGTGCCGATAGGCGATGCGAGAAGAAAGACTACTCTGGGAAGTGAAGGGAAATGTTATAAATGCACTCTTGTTTTAAACAGACAAGGATTTTATTTTGATAATAAATATGAGACTATGATTTTCAAGGTAGACATTCTTCACTGCAGCCGCTTTAACCGTAACCCCTCCTCCTCCTGCTGGTGCCCCCTGGTCTCTCTCTCTCTTTCTCTCTCTCTCTCCTTCGCCACTCTCCCGTTATTCCTCCACAGCCTTGTGCTTCATTCCAGTGCACAAGCCGTGCGAAGCAGACGACTCACACAGCACCAAAGCTGATGAATTCGCTCAGGGAATTCGCCGCTGTCTCTTTATAGGAATACCACTTGATCGTGGACGCACGTGAGTGTGCACATGCCTAGCTCGGACTATACTCCATGGTTCTGACACAAGTGCGGCTATCTTTGCCTCTGCTCCCCTGACCACAGAGACAGTCTTCAGATCTCCTCCAGACGGCTGTTACTTCTTGTTTTTTCATTGACTATCAGCGAAATATTGCTGGAAATATTCTCTGGATGGTGACCACGGACTGGACTACCTGTTTACAGCTGAGACACTCGGTGCGAGGGGAGCGGACTGGAAGACTTGCGCCCGGTGCCTTTTCTCTGGTTTAAAAAGGCACGTTGGAGATTGCTGAAAAGGGAGAAGGGCTGCTATATTCACACATTGTACTCCAAGTGTGTTATTTCGTCCGAACACTCACCTTTACGTGTTTTGGTGAATGGGGGTAACTCTGGTCCTGGAGGCTTGACACAGCTGGGACTAGGACGGGACTGGGTGCGTGGAGCGTCGGATCACCCAGGATTGTATTCCCTCTTCTCTCTCTCTCTCTCTCTCTCTCTCTCGTGGGTCTATTTACATGTCCGACCTGACCGCTTTATGACAATGGATTACTTTCTGCTTTTATGCAGCCTCTTGCTGCCCGTGGTGTCCGCCGTTGAAGGTAAGACATTTCATCTTCATTTTGGTTCAGTTGCGTTGCAGGATGCCTAAAGCATATTTTCCTCCATACCAAATGAGCCAGCACGCATGCTTCTCAGAGGGTGGGCAACGCAGCGGGTGAGGCTCCTGTATACCCAAATTCTTCGTTTTCTGTCATCTCCAAATCAAAACTAGCGTTTCGTTTTCATAGTGGCCATCTGGCTTTTTTTCAGGCATTACAAATGGCATTATGAGCTTTACGCAGCCAGGCGCTGATCGGTGGAGGTTTCAGTACACAATTGTTATGCGCGTCAAGGGAAGCTCATCCATTTCAGTGATACAATGTGTATTCGTTTTTGTTAGATCAGCTTTTGCCGGCTGCTAGTGCTTTCTTCGTCACTTAAGAGAAATTATCTCCACACTGTATCTCATCGGGGAGTCGCGGCTCCAAGCCCCCCACACCCCAGACAATTTCTCCAGGACGGCTGCTTATCCTTTAGGGCTGTATGAATTTGTGGCCTTTTGACATGTGGACTAAGCTGAAAAAAATCAGATTATAGTCTGTTTTGATACTCAGCTCACATGGAAAAGCTGTATTATGATTTTTCTCATTTATAAAAGAAGGCTTGGAAACGCAAAATGCCATTTAGTAAATTAAATCAAATTAACTGTAATTAATTTATCTCAGTATTCATTTCGTGTTTAGTTTTGTTAATGATTTTTTTTCTTAAAGTGGCATCGACTGATTATTTACACATATATTTTATAACAGCTGCTTCCAATAACAAAGCCATCAGTTTAAGTGTTGATGTTTGCCGTGCATAGAATCAGCGAGAAATTAAGTCCCACTCCTCTGTTATAACTTTCCTACATTTTGGAATACCTCACTGTGCTCTGTTTGGGGAAATACAAATAAATATATAGTATAGTTGAAATAAGGTTGGAAGGGGCCTAAAGCGTGAAACTGTGGACGCTGGAGCGCAGGCAAGGCTCCCGGTTGGCTTGTGATGCCAGTAGGAAAGTAGGACAGTGGGCCACTGGCTCACTAAACGCTTTTCTCTCTCAGCTTGTTCCTCGACCTGTCCACACAACGTCTTAAGAGTTTGTTTAATTCTTAAAACAAGTTAAATACGCCTGTCAAGGCAACTTTTTTTTTACTTTGCTTGACAATTTTAAACTTTACTTTAATGCTTAAACATGAGTCATATACAGTGGATAGGCTTCCTATAAACAGTAGATACACACAGGCGACAGTATAAACATTACGCTAAAGGACACGGTAATTTATCCCGCTCCAATTAAAGTTGTGTGACTTATTAAACATTCACAAAACTAAATAATTCCATCATCAACATCATCATCATCATTTTGCAATCTGGCTCAACACCAGTTCACTTGCATTTGATTCAAGTCTACCTCTCTACTCACTTTCACACAGTGTCTTGACCCTTATTTCAGAAAACATCCGTAGGCCTGTTACAGTCGGTGCTTCTTGCTCTTCAATCACAATTCACACTACTGCTTCCTCTGCCAGGACCAGGGGTAAAGAACACACGGGTATCATGAGTTAAAATAGTGCAAAGCTTATCTGATAAGGTTTGTTGTTTTATTGGTATCACTAAATAACAGGGCGACCAAGTATGATATGATAAGACTCCCAACACAGAAGGGACCTTACATTAGAACCAGCAATCAGACTAAAATGCAGTTTTGACGTTGCTGAATAAAAGTGCTGAATTAATTACTCTGTAGGTGGATGGCTGCCATTACACTTTTCTAATACCAGCTCCCCCTGAACAAAATTATTTTGAAATTGTAGTTCTTTATTTTGCTAGGGACCCCCTGGACCTCTCCCAGTGACCCCTGTAGGTCACCGGACCCCAGTAAGGAACCATTGACTTAAAACACATGGCTTGAATGGATGAGTGGATTCTTGTTGTGCAGCAGTCGGGGACTCCAGAGGTAGAGAGAGAGGGAGAGAGAGGGAGAAGGGAATTGAGAGATTGAGGTAGAGACTTAGAAAGAGAGCTTTTCTTGACAATAGTACAGCGAGTCGCACAGGCTTGAAATTGATGAATTTCGTTAGAACAATCTATTCCTTACATAAGTGATACCATAAATTGTACCCGACTGACCTGGCTGGGGGTTTACTAAAGCTTTTAATACAGCCGGATGATTTATAGCCACTGCTGGGACTTCTTTCTGGTATATCTAGGTTTATGGCATTTCAGGGAGAAAGAAACAGCCTGGAGGGGAAGTTACCCCGGCCCCACCGTGCTTTTCTCCGGGTCCCGGGGTCACTCAGCCCGGGTAAAGGCTCTAAATGAATTAATGTTTTCTTTTCCTCTTATTTCTTTTTTCCGTTGTTTGTTCTCATCCACTCTTTAACGGTTAAACCAAACGTCTTCAATCTTGTAAATTTAATTTGCTTTTAATTATGGGGCTATTACAGGGTTTCGCTCGTTTCTGAGTCCTCAGTGGCTGCAAACATCAATGCTAAACAATAATCTGAATCTTTTCACTTCACTTGATTGAACTAATTGGGTGATTTTACTCGCCTCAAATGTGGCCCATAAAAGTACGAGCAGTTGTTTTCCTGTCTTAATGATTGTTTTGTTGCTCTGTGCAAAATAATGAAATACCCAGGTCTCTATTTTTATTCGATAGAATTGCGGGGGGGGGGGGGGGGGGGGGGGGGGGTGTTACAGCTTGGATATTGAAACGTGTCTCTTGTCTGAAGTTCACGACTTCTAATTCCACTCAGGTTATTTTCTTTTTTTTTATTAGATAATAAACTTAATTATGTTTATGTCAAAATGAGAAGCTGATCGTTGCAATGCGGGTGAGGTCAGGCCTTAGTGGGTGTAAGAAAGGCCTTAGCTGTTGAACTTAGGCTTTTATCAGTGTGCTGAGGAGACAAATTGCGTCGATGACAGTCCTGTGTAGCACAGGCGCTGTGGTTAGTCCTCGGTGTAAATTACTTGTGATATAGGGAGGAAGCACGGGTGGGGGGGGGTGGCAGGAATAAACTAATGACACGCAGGCCAGACCAACGAACAGTGCACCCACGACAATGCAGTTTATCTCAGTTTCTTGTCTTAATGCATCCCCGTTGTATGACATTCTAGTTGCTGATAGAAGACATATCATTGGTTCTCATCTAGACTCTACCAGCATGTAAGCATTAGATGGCGTTTCAGTTTAACAACTTCCCAGGTTAGGAGCCATAGCTGGACAAAATTGTGTTCATTGAAAACGTTTGGCGAGTATTTATTATTACATTAACCCAGATATACTTTACTTGATGTACTTTATCCAAAGCCCAGCCTTTTGTAAAACAACTTCCAGTTGAACAACGCTCACCTGGAATAATTTTCTGTCTAAACTTTACGGCGGTGTATTTTGTGGAGTGATTACGTACAACCAGGGCATTTGAAGCTCACATGTTTATGTTTTTTTACGTGGGTGAGATCACACCTCCACAGGAGCTTTCCTGTGCCTGTTTGCAGTTGGCACGTTTCTCACCTAACTCTCTCTCTCCCGGTCTTTCTATAGCAGAGGAAATCCCATTGTAATCAATATTACCAGACATTGGAAGTAAGGCAATGGTCAATCATAAATGGCGATGGGATGGGGACCTGTATAATACCCCCACCCCCCAGTTTGTGATCATTAGGCATAGAGAAAGACTGTCTTAATTTAAGAATAGAAATAGGAAACATAATCTGTCTTCCATTTTATTACATACTAAGATATAGGGCGCAGAAGGCATTTTTAATTCGTAAACTCTATTCCCACAAATAAAAGAAACTTGTTTAGGCCTAAATTAAATTTTAGGTGAGATTATTGTATGTGACTTTTACGGGAATACTTGTTAATGCTAAAGTGATTGTGTTTTTTTCCACCCCTAATAACTTTCAAAGAAACAGCTTAATTGGCGGCTTGTTTGATATGTGTTCCATTTGACATTAATAAAAAGTACAAAATCAAATTTGGGTCTTGTTATAGGTTTGGGAGGGCTGCTTCTTGGTAAAACTCAGTTGACATTGATGATAAAGGGAGTAATGTGGCCATTTTGTCCGACACGCTTGCTGTCCGAAGGCCTTCATTCACCGGGTGTTATTTATGGTCGCAGCAGTCTGTGTGGCCTGAGCAGGACTCACAGTGAAGTTGCAATGTTAAACTTTACTGCAAGAGCTCCTCTACATATCATTCAAAAGCAAACCAATGAACAAATGTATTTAGGGTCTCAATTGAAGTGACAAAGGGAACTATTAGTGGCTGTATGGCAGCTATCACACAGACCATTCAAGAGCCGAGTGGAAACCCACTAAAGAGGCGTGAAAGCGAATTTGCAAAATAAAAGCAAAGTCATTCTGGCAATTCTACTAATGAATCATTCCCGAGGGCAATGTGGAAGTCAGCAAAATGGTAAAGGACTCCTATCTATCTATCTATCTATCTATCTATCTATCTATCTATCTATCTATCTATCTATCTATCTATCTATCTATTAGTAGGTACGTTAGTAGTTGTTTTTTTTAAAGAATGCTTATCAAGCAGAAATACTTGTTTTTTCATAATAGTGAATAAGAAACTGTCGGTGGAGATGTAAACAGGCAGTCGCCTAGGCGCGCACACAGAAACACACAACACAAAGAGTGTTCAAAGTGCCAATTGATGCGGTTTTATTGATCGAGTGATTCAGCGCTACTCAGCCTTTTAAAACCGCAGAATCAGGTTTGATGCGGGAGACTGCCTAGCTGTCTTCTTGCTAGAAGCAATTAGCAATTCATAAGGATATTTATCAGTGCGTCCTGAATCAATTGGCTGTGTGAAGGATGACTTCGCCTCTTGTGCAATAGCCACGAATGCACATTAGGCACAAAGGCTTTCTACTTTTACAACACTAATAACACTAACTGTTAACAACAACACTAATAATATGAATTATTATTATTATTATTATTATTATTATTAATTGTTTTTGTAATATTATCTGTAAGTAAGAATTTAGACTTA